CTATTACGTAAATGTCTTAGGGGCTCCTTGGATTTTGCCTGTTATGGGTACGGTAAGGATGAATGTGCAGATTTTAAAGAGTGTTTTGGATATGAATCATTCCACCTTATGGAACGGATTAGAGGATCAGTATCAGAAATGAAATAGTTAGCTCCGTTCCTTGAAATAAATTTGTCTGGCTTCCTTGTTAAATTGATTTAAAAACAAAAGGGTGACACTTGGAGTGATACTTTCTATGGATTTATCACACCTATATCCTGTTTCTTGGGAACACACAGGGATTTTCCATCCTTTGTCCCTTTTAATGTCTGTAAATAGGTGGGGGGGTTGATCATGATTGTGGCCTCCAACTTGACTTTTTTGACCTACTTCCTTCATATCCCTATCTTTTCGTTACTGGCATAAAAGTAATTCTCCCCTCTCTGAAGTTATCTTCACAACCACCTTGCGAAGCAAGGAGACATTAAGGAAAAACTTCCGGGTTGAGGAAGAATTTAAGCTTTCTGTCTCCTTGCCTTGTTTTAGGCTGATGTTGCCATCCTACCAGATATTGGTGGAGAAGAAAAAAAAAACAAAACCATCCAGCTTGACAAGTGTACTATATCTCTCTTGCAATGTCTCCATGGAATATTTGTAATGTCGGCTTGTATGACAAAATTTCTGGATACCGGAAGTCGGAAAAAGTCAAGATGGCGGCCATGACTACATAATTTAGGTTCTCACTTTTAAAACAAAAACAAAAACTGGACACAGATAACTCTATATGCTGCCTTGACCTTCTCAGATATTGAACAAGGATGGGGGAGGACACTGGTTTCTATTGAATAGAAAATATTACCCCCTCATTGTTCTTCCCATATATCCAAGGATTACCATCATGACAGTCCTGTGAGGCTCTGCCCACTGAATTTCACCAAGGGCTAGTTGCAAATTTCAGCCCAGCTTTCCATGGCCCTGCTTTCCTATTATGGTTCCTGCACCATCCTGCAAATCAACAAGTTCAGGAAAAACCCAGCTGCTCTGTTTCATGGGGCGAGTTTATTAAAAGCAAATAGTTGCCAAGACAGAAGGGGATCAGTTTAATACAGTCCATCGTGTGCCGATCAGCCCTTGTGGATCAGCCATATGGTGAATAGTTTAAGGGAGAGGTGCATCATGTTACCCTCCTAATCAACCAGCTGTTGAGAGGCTTTCAGGGTAGAGCTCAAAAGTTATCTACCATCCAGTCAAAAAAGTCAGGATGGTGCTTGCAAGATTAAGTCTTAGAGTGAAATACAATTAATAATCCACCCAATGGATGGTTTCTCCCATTGAATTGTTTTGTACCCTGACGATGTTGGTAGGATCCAACGAAAACTAGGTCCTTTTTAAATTCTTTTAAAGGTTTTTTAATGTTTTATTTTTAATGTTTTATTTTAATGTTTTGCAATCTCCTGGTGTTCACATTTTATTTCTCACCATATATATATATATATATGATACAAAATAAAAATGGAACACCAGGAGAATATGCAGGCGTCGGCTTATTTATAAATGCTTTTCCCATTGATTAACTTTGTGCCCTGAGGATGTCGGAAGGATCCGACGAAAGCTTGGCCCCTATGATTGTATGCTTTTAAAAGTTTTTAAGGTTTTTACTAAACTTTTAATTGTCTTATATTCTCCTGGTGTTCGCATTTTTATTTTGTATCATGGATATTCCCAGGAGTCATTCGTTTGTCTTCTATGTTATTTGCAACCATATATATATATATAAAATGTACAAACTTAAAAAATATTAAAAGCATATAAACACACATACATACCCAAACGCAAATCTAAAAAAAAACAACCCTATGATTGAAGCCCCACCTTTTTACCTGTGTATTATGACATTTTGATTTGATCACATAGTTGTGGCCACCATTTGACTTTTTTTTTAGAACACCCCCCCCCCCAGCAGATTTTCCTAGCAGAACTATTTTGGGCCAGCTCTCCGGAAGATTGGGGGTGAGTGGGTGGTGGAGGGCATGCAATTTTAAGGATGGAAGCATTTCATCTCAAATAAACCTTATATTTCCATCCCCCACCCAATGGATTGAATTAGAAATCACGTCATGCCAAATCAGCCATTTCACTATCACATTCAATGATGCAATTGGGGGGGGGGCTACAGAGGGGATGTAAATGGGATGGTGGGGGACACCTGTGGCTTAGTGCAGTGTTTCTCAACCTTGGTAACTTTAAGAGTTGTGGATTTAAACTCCCAGCTGGCTGGGGAATTCTGGGAGCTGAAGTCCACAGGTTTTAAAGTGGACAAGTTTGAGAAACACTGGCTTAGTGCATTGATAGAATCCAACCAAATGTAGTTCAGACAATATGCTATGATTCAGCAAACCATCTTTTAGAGTGATATGGGAACTGAGCCATTTGCTTTCCAAAGAGGGCATCACAAGAATAATCTTGTGACCAGTTGTTAGCCATGTTATTTTTTTTTAGCAGTAGCAGCCGCAATGAAGATGAAAGCAGTCCAGTGAATAAATTTTTTTTAAAACCTCTTCTCCAAACAAAGATGGTGAAAAGGGGCGGGTTGACTCGTCCATTTAGAGAGGAATCTTTCCAATAACATGGCTTATTTATTTTGCAAACCAAGAATTTTTACGAAAAAAAAAAGAATCATTTCCACGAAACAATAATAAAAAACAGCTGTGTTCAGATATATTGCCAGAGTAGTCCTTTTCTTTTCCTTCCCCTAATTTCTCCAGAAAGCGTGGGAGACACAAATGATTTGAAGCACTTATTTCCTTTATGAAAAGCAAAAAAGAAATCGAAGTTTCAGGGAAACCATTAGCTTGCTATTTCCAACTTGTGTCCTGTGAGGGGTTAGTTGTTTTCTGACTCACACTTGTAATTATAGGCTTGCCTTGTAGTTAGCTTCCAATGTGGGGCTTCCTTTACATGCCAGCCTTGATTTTGTGTAGGCATAAACCGGATTGAGATGTAAACTTAAGGACCTCCATCAAATTATCATTCCATTCTAAATAATTGATCAATCTGGATAATCTCCTTAATGCCAGTGCTTCCATTGAAAAAATTCAATGATTAAAATAATTGACCTTGATTTGATTTTGTCATATCCAGGCACTCTTTTGAAAAGGGTATGGAGGACAGGATTTCCTTATAATAGGAAAAAATGGGGAAAATGGTCTTCCAATTAATATATCATTATAGGACAATATTATGAAGAGAAGGACGAGTGGTGACATGATAGCAGTGTTCCAATATCTCAGGGCTGCCACAAAGAAGAGGGAGTCAAGCTATTCTCCAAAGCGCCTGAAGGCAGGACAAGAAGCAATGAATGGAAACTAATTAAGGAGAGAAGCAACCTAGAACTAAGGAGAAATTTCCTGACAGTTAGAACAATTAACCAGTGGAACAACCTGCCTCCAGAAGCTGTGAATGCTCCAACACTGGAAGTTTTTAAGAAGAGACTGGACAGCCATTTGTCTGAAATGGTATAGGGTTTCCTGCCTGAGCAGGGGGTTGGACTAGATGACCTCCAATGTCCCTTCCAACATTATTATTGTTGTTGTTGTTGTTGTTGTTGTTATTATTATTATTGGGATTATGGAGAAGCAAAGTGGGTACCACTGAAGATGCTTCAATAGAAGTTGGAAGATCCAGATTCCAGATTCGCCTTCAGTTATGGAAGCTCCTTTGGGGATGTGGATCAGTTCTTCTCTCTCCTAGCCTGGTCTAGTGGTGAAAGTATTGGACTAGCACCAAGGAGAAACAGGTTCTAGGTTCCTCTTCAGCCACAGAAGCTCCCTGATAGTCTCTGGGTCAGTTCTTCTCTCTCAACCTGGTCTAGTAGTAGAAGTGTTGGACCGACACTAGGGAGAGCCAGGTTCTAGGTTCTCCTTCTGTCACAGAAATTCCGTGAGAGAACTTGGGGGTCCCTCTCTTGTAGACAGGAGCCAGTGTGCTCTAAAAGGGAAAGCTGTTGAACTAGGAGTTAGGAAACACTGGTTCTAATCCTCCCTTAGACATGCTGGCTGGGGAATTCTGGGAATTCTATTCACCTTAAAGTTGCCAATGTTGAGAACAATTGTTCTAGAGGCATCCGGGTCAACAGCATTGTACCAATATTGCAGTAATGAGGGCAGGCTTTCTAACCTGAAATTCCACAGATGGATGAAGACAATGATTTATTAGATTTAGTAAGGTCAATTTATTAAGGCCACCCACTCCAAAGGATGGTGTAAATCACTAACGTGTGCAGTGCTGGGATTCAAATATGTGAACAACCGGTTCTCTGTGTGGATGTCACTTCCGGAAGTCCATTCTGAGCCTGGGCAACAAAAAATTAGCTACCGGTTCTGCCAAACTGGTGCAAAGTGGCTGAATCCCCCCACCACCACTGAGCGTGTGTCTTGAAACAGGTTTTTAGGATGCCCTGCTGTCATTTCCTATGGGCCTGCTCCACTGAACACTTCTGAAGCCGTCACCCATGCCCACGTCAGCTGGAGATAATGGGAGCTGTAGCCCTGATAGGGCACTAGAGTACATCTGATCTGGTGGTGAAAAATGTTAAGACTGGCAACCCCCAACCCCACCCCACCCCGAGATATGATAGTTTGAGAGCAAAGCAGCCTCCTAATTGATAGGTAGAAAGTGGATCCAAAGAGGCCCGGGACTGCAGACANCCCCCAAACGGCATTTCCCCCATTACTCCGTCTCCCCCGCACGTCTCCTGCAGTCCGGGCAAGTCGAGGCATTTCCCCCCCCCCCCGAGCTCCGCCCACCGGCCTTTTCCAAACACGCAACCTCACCCGGCTGCCCCGACGTCGCTCGTTCGGCCTTGGGAATCCCTCGTGCGTCTTCGGATGACTCACGCGTCAACCCGGCGCCGCCGTCTATAAAACTCCACCCGCCTGGCTTGCAGGCAAGTCAGATTGAGAAGCAAGCGGGAGGGAGGACAGATAGATAGATAGATAGATCGATAGTTCGGTTGATTGATTGATTAGCGGGAGGACCGATTGACGGGCAGATCGAGCCAGGGACAAGGCTGAACTTTGCGACGGGGGACCTGCTGGGCTCGAGGCAGCGCTCGTGGATGATGGGAAAGCTCCGCGGCTCCGTGATGCCCATGGATCCTCTGGGCAAAATGGGGCTGCTGTGCCAAGCGTGCGGGTTCCTCTTGGCCAACCCGCAGCAGGCGGAATGCGGGCATCGCTACTGCCGGAGATGCGTGAAAGGACTCTTCAGGTGAGGGGCAAGAAGGATCTGGGGCGGGGAGGGCTAATCTCGACCTGGCAGTGGGGTGCCTTCCCAGCTCAGACTTTGGATTACAAGTCCCATCATGCTCCGCCAGAACTCGAAAGGGTCCGGCATGCGGGGACGGAGAATGCTCGTGTTGTACTGCGCATCTGGATTTGCTGGTTGGGTTGTGTTCCTTGGTACCTCCGCGGATTGGCGGGGACGGGTGTGTGTGTGTGTGTCAGATAAGTCACTTCCAGTAGGGAATTTGGTGCTGGGAATCACGGGGCCCGAATTGATGGGGCTAGAAAAACGAAGAACTTTGGAGCAGGATTGTGCTTGGCAAGTTGGTTGTTAGATTAAATCAGTATTTCTCAACCTTGGCAATTTGAAGGTGGGTAGACTTCAGTTCCCAGAATGCCGCTCTTCTTACGGTAATAAGTTGGCAGAAGAGCCTTTTCAGTTTCAGCTCAAGACTGATTTATTGGTTAAGTGCCATCAAGTCATTTGGGATTTCTACTGATCACAATGATAGATTTTTCTCCGGATGGTAGTTGGTTCTGATCTTAATAGGGCTGAGCTTACTGATCAGCCGCCTTTCCTCTGGATTGAAATGAACTGTGAATTAAATTCTTATTTTGCTTTTTTTTTTTTTTTTTTCCAATTTCAGGCTTCGACCTGGTTAATACATAATTATCATCAGATTGCTTGCTAATTTCCTACATTTTTTTGCTTATTCTCATGTGGGTTTTTTTTAAATAGATTCATTATTTTCATAATCTGTATTACGTATAAAATATAAATCTAAAAATGCAGAATCTGTAAAAAGCTCTCCCTATTCTGTATTCAGATAAGCTGAATACAGAATTAATGAGGTTTTCCTCAGAATTCTGCCCTTTTGATGGGTTTTTATTGCTAGATGCCTTGAGCACTATTTTCATTTTCCTGGTTAAGAAAGGACAGACCCAAAACAAAATGGATTCAATAAATCAAATCATAAAACGTGCTTATATTGCCTAAGTATAAGGGAATAGCAAAGGGATAAGTGGGATCGGGCAGACGTTGAAGGATAGAAGCAACAGGTGGTTGTTAGGAATGTGTGTGTGCGTCAGAGTTCTTTCAAAATTGCCCACAGTTCTGTTGTTGGATTTTCACTCGGTTCACCTTCTTCTTTCTTTTCTTCCTCAGGGACACAGAGAAAATAGTGTCCTGCTTTACGTGTAACAAGGTCCTGCATCTCAAGGAGGTGAGTTTCAAGATAATTGTTCTCAGACTTGAACAACCCTGTACAGGTAGTCCTTGGCTTACAACCATTTGTTTAGCGACCATTTGAAGTTACAGTGGTATTGAAAAGGTGACTTATTAGTTCTTGACCATCGCAGCATTCCCCCCTGTCACATGATCAAAATGTGGGTGTTCGGCAACCAGCATGCATTTATGATGGTTGCCGGATCTTGAGGTCTCATGACCACCATTTGCAACCTTCCCACAGCTGGCTTCCAACAAGCAAAGTCAAGATTTGTTTACTTAACAACCATGGTAAAAAGGTTATATAGCAGGTGTGATTCACTTAACAACTGCCTTGCTTAGCAATGGATATTCTGGTCTCAGTTGTGGTTGTAAGTCAAGGACTACCTGTTAAAACACCCAACAGCCAAAGAGATTGTGAGTGGGTAGGAAGAAAAAAATTGAGTTTCAACTCCTGTAGTGTAAGAGGCATTGATGCCCTTTAGTACCCTTGTAGACAATCATTTGCTTCAGTTGGTTTCATCCCTGTTCGCCAGACAGATTCTTTCCAGCTGATTCTTTCTCCCTTGGAAATTAGTTTAGCCGTGTAAAGTCAGAAAACCTACTGGAGCTAGATGGGCTGATGGCTTGTTCTAGCAGGGGGTCTCCTGATATTCTCAAAAATGTGCTTCACAAGCCAAAATAAGTCATATGATTGATTGGCATAATGGAAGCTCCATCCAGTGGGGGAGAGCAATTGTAACTTAAAGATGGTCTGTAGGATGAAGGGGTAAAAACTGGACCAAGGTGGAACTTCACTACCCATGGCAGAAGCTACATTACCACCACAGAGTTTAGAGGGGTTCAAGCCACCTAGATTGCATTCACCCTTTTCTGTAAGATCTTGCCACTAATTCTCAGGATCTTCTGCCCGGCGTTATTACCGTATCTCAGTTCACCTAATAGCAGAGGTCATCCTATTGGTGGAGGCTGATGTTAAAAGGGAGGATATGGATTTAATGTTACCACGATCAACTCTTATCCTTGTCATCTGACTTCTTGAATCTCTCAGTTCCACAGTGACAAAGCAGCAGAGAACGATGCTCTTGACACCCAGATAGCCTGCCCAAATTTTGACTGCAGGTGGACAGGAACTCTGAAATCATATCAGGTATTTTCAATGAACCTATTTACTTTCATTGCTTTTCAATCAGCCCCCAAGTTTGCTGTTAAAAAGATGTTAATATCTCATTGAGATTTAATGTGATACTGGTTATGAACCAGCTGGGAATCTTTGGTCCATAACTGTGATCAAAATTTTCATAATGAATAGTACTGTTAATATCATGGGAAGGTTAGAAATATCAGTAAGAAAAACCCAACAGCTAAATGAAGTATTTGCTGGATTTTTAAAATCATATATCTTCATTGAGGAAAGAGCTAGAGCTATGTGACAAGACTGGGGAAAAGTATGTCCCAGAAACAAACTGATGTATTGTTTGTTATGAAGGCATTAGACTAGGAATATCTAAAAGAGCTTATCTGGCTACTAATATAAAATTAATGTACAATTCCCTGGGATCTTTTTCGGAAGAAATCCATAAGGGTTAAAACTTTAAAATGTGTCTTACATGGACTTTTGGCAGGTTTTAGAACCTCTCAGGTAGTAGCACATAACCATGTAGACTAGATACAGTATGTCTGGATATGTCTCAGAGTCATGATCAAGTGTCAAAAGCCCTGACTCATAGTTTGAACCATGCTGTCCTGATTTTTAATTGTAGGAGCATTTATGCCTCCCTGCGGCACCTATTGGAACTACAAAAGATGCTACTTTAACTCCTGGAGATCAAATTGAGAGTAAAGAGAAGGAAGCACACTGGACTGTCACTGCCCCTGTTATGGTGAGTTACCGGATAAACCTTGAAAGCCTAATTCTTTTCCAAAGCATTCTTCAATGGTCGATTTTAAGTGATCATTATAGGAAGTCATAGATACTAATTTAAATGGTTTTATAAAGGCATTGGACACATTCTTGGCGAATAAGAATTCATGGAGCACCAGAGGAACCAGATCAGGTGTCTTATAGCTTCTAGTCTACAGTACATGGTTATGTGCTACTGCCTGAATCATGGACAAATCCTAAGTACTAGTTATTAGAAAGTAACAATACAGGAGGCTATAGTCGCAAACCATATATTCTTGCCTTTTTTTTGAGTTACTAATGCATCTGGTTGGCTACTCTGTGGACTCTTCATATATTCTTAAGCTACCACTAGGTTCCAAAGAGAACCTAGCCACTTGTAGAAAGAAGCACTGAAAGATTGAAGAAGATCCTCAAGAGAAATTGGGTGGTTTCAATCAACACATGACAGCACAACCTGAATAAATGTCACTCAGAATGCAATGCTTAGAGAAAGGTTGAATTTATTGTAGGGTCCTATTTAGTAATTATGAGCAAAGCAGCTGAATTAAGAGGAAAATGATAGCACTTTGAGAACAATGGGGTGGGGGAAGAGAACTGCCTTGGTTTTGTGCCTCCAATTCTGGGTCTGTTTCTGATGTGAATTTATCTTCTCCTTCTCTAGGGTAGTCCTTCGCTGAACATCGAAGCTGTCCAGTTGCGTATGGAGGCCCTGGAGCTGATGGTTGCATCTTTGCGTCGGCAGCTGAATCAGCAAGTCTCCAACGTGAAAACTCTCCAACACAGCTGCTCCCAGTATGAGGAGTTGCTCAAAATTTCTCAGGAAATACGTAATTGTCCTCATGGAACCAAAGGTTCTGGACCATCCTCACAAGAGCTGGTCAGCACTGATGGAATCTTGATATGGAAGGTAGAGAATTTCTCCAAACTCCTGAAGGACGCCAAAAGTGGGAAAAGACAATCCATCTTCTCTCCAGCCTTCGCCACCCATCCTTTCGGATACCGCCTCTACGTCCGACTGTACCCTGATGGAGACGGTGTAGGCAAGGGTGGCCACCTTTCACTCTTCCTGGCTTTGGCCAAAGGGCCTTACGACGACATTCTGCCTTGGCCTTTCCGACAAAAGGTCACCTTCTCTCTCTTGGATCCCATGCGAAGGAAGTCACCTCTGGTGGAGACCTTCCTCCCAGATCCCCAAAGCACTTCTTTCCAGCAACCTCACCAGAGACTCAATGTGGCCAGTGGAAGCCCTCTATTTGCCAGCCATGTTGAGATTCCCAGCTACCTCAAAGATGACACTCTGTATCTCAAAGTAGTGGTGGATTTGACTGGAATAGACATTTAATGCTGGAAAGAGATGGAGAGATTCTATGGTGAAGATATGCTGCATTTCCATAACTTTTGATACTTCATTTTTTTTAATCAAATTGTTTTTTTCTTTACTAGCACCCAACTGTGTCAACCACAATTTCTATTTCAAAACAGATCATCATCTGCTTCTCAGAATCATCTAAAACCTTATTGTTTTGGCTTGAACTCATGGGAAATCGATCCTTGATTATGCTCAGACTGAGGTTGACCATCCTCTAAACTTTACAGCACTTATGGGATTTTTATGGACAGCTATTGGAGAACGTCTGTTAAATGCAGAGAAATGTGGGAAATGTTTTTCGGTGGACAAGAATGTTAAATGCCTTCCTGAATAATAGCTACTATATTTATCTGGGGGGGAAAAAGACTAGCTTTCTCCAGATCAGAACATTACCATGGGACAATTGTGGATTCACCAAGAATTGGTAAACCAGGGAGATTTTGCTATCTATTAACCTGTGATGTGGAAATCCAAAGACATGTTTCTTATGGACAAAGTAGAATAATTTGTAAAAAAAATACCCAAAGTGCAAATGTTCAGCTCTTTTGTTACACTGCTCCCAGTTTGTTAAAATACACGTTTGGCATAAAAAATACGTTAAAAATAGAAAGGTTTTCCATTGATGACCCTTTGTGATAAATTATTATGTAGGGGAATTACAACACAAAATAGGACATTTGGAGTGGTATATTGTATGTGTGAATTTGGGCAGGTGTTTTCCTATTAAACTTTAGCATGGGTTGAATGAACCTGATTGTTTTAAAATGCCAGTATTGATTGTTAATTATATCAATAGCACTATTTATGGAAAAGGGACTTTGCAATAACAACTAAGGAGTTTAAGTTGAACATCCTTGGTCTTGACATTTCTTTCTACCTCGCATTCTTATTTATTAACAACTCTGGTATTTATTATATAAGAGTACCTGTGTACTGATATTGAATAAAACATTAAAGTGTATTTATATGATTGATGAAAAGTGTTTTATGTTGATATTGTAGGAGAAGAAAATAAAGTAAATATTGTAATGAACTGATGTTTAGGTTCACTTTTCCTTTAAGATTTAAACCATGATTTTTCTTTAATGTGGTTCTTGGGTAATTATTAAATAGAGAAGTTGTCCAAGTACTTCAATGATGCAGTGATTCTGCTAATCCTCAAAAAATATTTTACTATGGGAAATTTAGAGGCATTGGTCCTAGCCCATTATGTGGGGGTGGAAAAAAGGCAGATTTTCTGGCTCAATCTGGTAGGACCAAAGCAAATTGGTTACAAGGATGTCAGGCCAAAATAAATATCAGAATTTTCCTTTGGCAAAGAAACAGGGACTGGAACTCTCTTTTTGATTTGTTATCACTATGGCTGCTTGACTAATCGACATTCATAAATATAGAAGTAGTCCTTGACTTACAATCATTTATTTAATTACTGTTTGAAGTTACAACGGCACTTAAATAGTGACTTATGACCGTTTTTCACGCATCCTCATGGTCACATGATCAAAATTCAGATGCTCGCCAAACTGGCCATAAATATGGTTGCAGTGTCCCACCATCCCAGTGATCACCTTTTGCGACCTTATGACAAGCAAAGTCAATGGGGAAGCCAGTTTCACTTAACAACTGTGTCACTAACTTAGTGATTCACTTAACAACCGTGGCAAGAAAAGTTGTAAAATGGGGCAAAACAAAAACTGTCTCGCTTAGCAACAGAAATTTTGGGCTCAGTTGTGACTGTAAGTGGAGAACTACCTCGTCTCAGTTGCCCAAATGCTTTTTGTGACAATATGATTCTGCTAGCCTTGAATTAAAAATTTCACTTTAGGTGTGACAGATTCAGGATTGATGCAGATTTCAAGCAGACTGCACACACATCAGTTCCGCCTGGAAAGTACTTTACCCTGAATCTATACACTGCTTCGCATTACAAAAGAAAGATCACTTATCGCTTTCTAATTTACAATTAGTACACACACACACACAAAAATCACAAATCGCAATCCCATGACATTGGAATGCTGCAAATGGTCAAAAATGCAAATGCCCAAAATGTGGTATTGTCATGGGGAGGTTGTGGGCAGGGTGGCCATCGTAATTTCTACGACAGGTTGTTAGTAGCTTTTTAAAAGTTGATTGTGACTTTAAAGGGTCGTTAACAGACCAATTATAAGCAGAGGACTACCTCTATAGGTATTTCTTGACTTACCATCATGCTTTTAGCTACCATTGGAAGTTACGGTGGTGCTAAATGAAGGGACTTTATGAATCTTGCCCGATATTGCAGCCATAGCAACACCCCCAATGGTCACATGACCAGAATCAGGGCACATAGCAGCCCATCTGCGCTTACGGCCACAAGGGTGCTACAATTCCTAGCACCTACCTATCTCGCTCCCGCCATCTATGTCTTTTTGCCCCCTGCTGCCCTAAGCCCTACTCTACTACCCTATCTCACCTGCCATCATCTTGCTCCCATTGCCCACTCGGCCTAGTTGCTGGGCTGTTTGGGGCGGGCTCCGTGTGGTAAAAATAGAAAAAAAAAACCACCACAAAGCAAACTTAAATAGGCCTCAGCATTCTCCTGGGCCTATGGAGCTGGCTTTGGCCTGTGCAGAAGTAGAGGCAAAATAAAAATAAATAAAAAATAAAATAAGCAAAATTAAAAAAGAACGAAACAGCCTGTCCCTCTGCTAGAGGGCACCAAAATGCTGATTTTGGCTGTGCTTGGCTGGATCTATAAGGTTGCCTTTCTGCTCCCCCCCCAAAAAAAAGTGGGGGGGGGGATAGCAAAGCAAGACTTCTGTGACCCAAGTGTGCCCAAAGATCTTTTTCTGCCATACTACTAGACAGTATCGCGCACTGCAAAAAAAGGAGAAAAAGCTGAAAAAGGCTTTACCCCTCCTTTTACAGGACAAAGCCAGACCGAAAAAGTCAAAGACAAAGGCCACAAAAGGAGAATTATTAGAGCATGCAGGCCCCTTTAATTTGTTTTCTGCTCCCCCCCCCCTTTTTTTTTTCTTGGTGTGACGCCATCAAACTAATTGCCCAGCAGATGGCTTGGGCAGACCTTGTCAACAGTAGCAGCAAGAGAACAGCAATGGGCCTCACACCATGAGTATCTGTCTGGTTCAGGCAGCAAATTCACCTCCCAATCAGCAATTCTACCTGCTATTGCTAACAAACTTGCCTTATTTGTAAGATGCTCCCTCATTTGCTTCTGTCCTTCGAGCCGCAAAGATTTGTGAAGCTCTTATCACCATCTTGGTTGATCACTTGGGAAACATCCTGTTCTGAATAAAAACTCTCATGTTATTGAAAAGCAGTTTCTGCTAGAGTTCAAGACAATGTCCTTTAGCTCACTCACTCACTCTCTGAAATACTGGAGAAATGGAAGGGTCCTTACATTGCAATTACACCTAAATCTTCTCACCGCCTGGATCCACCTCAAGAAACCAGACCAGTTGAACACTGGCATCTGTGGAAGTTCAAGATAGGTGGATGAGCAGGAGGGTTCTCTATCATGATCCACCAACATTGCCCGAAGGATATGGAGCCACTTCCACCTATCAATTTCACCCCTAGATTCCACCTGCCAACTTCCACTGCCTTGATTCCATGAAGATTGCCTGGATTCTTTTCACCACTACCACATTCCCACAGCATTTGCCTTCCCCACATTCAACACATGCGTCGTGAATGCATGTCAAGGGACCCAGCTTTATGAAGTGAGACTGAGATTGTTAGATGAGAAAACATTCATGCTCGCTCTACACATTTACTTCATCAATATGAACAGAGCTTTGATTGGCTAGCTTCCGAAGGCCCATTTCCACCACAGCTGACAATATCCACCAGCTTCTGTCTTATGATATCCACAGGCTTTTCAGGAGTTCCATCAGCTTCAGAAGATCAACCTCCAATGGTTTAAGCTAGGTGCATTGGACTGACTTCCACAGACTTCACGCCATGGTTATCTGCCTGGTTCAGGCAGCAAATTTACCTCCCACTCAGAAAGTCAATGGCTATCAAAGCAAACTTGCCTTTTTTGTGATATGCTCCAACATTTGCTTCTGCTCTTCCAAAAACAATGATTTGTGAATGTCATATCAACATTTTCATCGATCATAGAAAAAGATCCTGTTCCAAATAAAAAATCTCATGTTATTCAAAGCAATTTCTGCTACATTTCAGGATAATGCCTTCTACCTCCATGTCTCACTCAGTTGGACCAGAGAACCCCCACATCAGCAGTGCGTTGAAGGAAGAAATGAAGAAGAACTATGCCAACTACCAATACCTAAAGTTGAATTTTTCTCTTGACTCCAAAGCGGTGAGTAGCATTTCTTCTCCCAGAATGATCCTTACTGTCTCTCTTCCAGAAACCAAGTATATTTCACTACACTGGAACCTAGGAATAGGACTTACCATGTCAGGTTGCCAGGCCACACTCCATGCAGGCAGACAGCTGAGTCAAGGAGAAAAATATTGGAAAAGTGGAAACGCCCTTATCCAGTGGTGTGATTCAAATATGTGAACAACCAGTTCTCTGTGTGGATGCCACTTCTGGAAGTCCATTCTGGGCCTCGGCAACAAAAAATTAACTACCGGTTCTGCCGAACTGGTGTGACCCGGTTGAATCCCACCACTGCCGTACATTGAGCTTTCACCTCACCCTTCTGTCTCTCCCCCTGGACCCACCTCAGAAAAACAGGCCAGCTGGTCTGATTTGTGAAGGTCATGCCACCATCTTGGTCGATCGTTGAAAAAGATCCTGTTCCAAAAAAAAATTATATTGTTATTCAAGAGCAATTTCTGTTAACAATTCAGGATAATGCCTTCTACCTCCATGTCTCACTCAGTTGGACCACAGAACCCCCATGTCAGCAGCGTATTGAAGGAAGAAATAAAGAAGGAATGGAAGAAAGAGAACTATGCCAACTACCAGTACCAAAAGTTGAATTTTTCTCTTGACTCCAAAGTGGTGAGTAGCTTTTCTTCTTCCAGAATGATCCTCGCAGTCTCTCTTCCAGAAACCAAGTATATTTCAGTAAACTGGAACCTAGGAAAAGGACTTACCTTGTCAAGGTTGCCATGCCACACTCTATGTAGTCAGACAGCTGAGTTGAGGAGAAAAATATTGGAAAAACTGAAGGGCCCATACCTTGAGCTTGTCCCTCACCATTCTGTATCTCTACTGGACCCACCTCAGAAAAAAAGACCAGCTGGTCTGCTTTGTGAAGGTCAAGTCACCATCTTGATCAATCGTTGAAAAAGATCCTGTTCCAAATAACAATTCTATTGTTATTCAAGAGCAATTTGTGCTACATTTCAGGATAATGCCTTCTAGCTCCATGTCTCTCTCAGTTGGACCACAGAACTCCCATGTCAGCAACATGTATAAGGAAGAAATGAAGAAAGAATAGGAGAGAAGGAGAGAAATGCCCTCTAACAATGCCAAAAATTGAAATTTTATCTTGACTCCACAGCGATGATCAACATTTTGTCTCTCGCAATGACGCTTGAAGTCTCTTCCAGAAACGAACCCCATTTTACTAGACTGGAAACGTGGAATAGGACTTACCATGTCATGCTGCACTCAGTTCACTGAGAAAGCAGAGTTGAAGAGAAAAATATGGGAAAAATGGAAGGGCTCTTACCTTGAGCTTTTTCCTCACCCTTCTGTCTCTCCATCTGGACCCAACTCAGAGAAACAGACCAGCTGGTCTGCTTTGTGACGGTTATGTCACCATCTTGGTCGATCATTGAAAAAGATCCTGTTCCAAATAAAAATTCTATTGTTATTTAAGAGCAATTTGTGGTACACTTTAGGATATTGCCTTCTAGCTCCATGTCTCACTCAATTGGACCACAGAACCCCCATGTCAGCAGCGTATTGAAGGAAGAAATAAAGAAGGAATGGAAGAAGGAGATTGTTAAGGTTGCCATGCCACACTCTGTGCAGTCAGAAAGCTGAGTTGAGGAGAAAAATATTGGAAAAATGGAAGGGCCCTTACTTTG